CCCAGGCTGGGGGTCGGGAGTGACCTCCTCGAGGGGTGCGCCCAGCAGCTGGGAGAGCTTCCTCACTGAAATGAACACCAGGTCAGCCGAACGAAAGACAGTAAAAGGCAAAAAAGGGAAAATCTATACGCTATGAATAAAGACAGGGACGGAGCCAGCGTTACAGGTGTCGAGTTTGGGCTGGGGGGTCGCCACTTCCCCAGAGGATCCGGACAACGTCCCCATCAGCCCTGCTGCGGAGATCTGCTCGGAAGAGATCCTGGTAACATCGAGCTTCACCTTGGAGCCCAACAGCGGGCTGAGGGTCTCGTAGTCCAGGTCCTTCGGGTAGGGGTCGGCCTTGACCCCTCCAACCTTCCACACATTGGGAGGAAAATGTGTGGATCGGACAAAGAAGAAATCCTCCTTCCAATCCTTAACGGAGGAGGGGAGGCCGAAGAACAACTCCTGGGCCCCTTTCCCTCCCTTGGTCTGGGGGCCCCGACGGGAGAAGTAGTACCACCCCGGGAGGGAAGACTTAAGAATGAAGGCGGCTCGGAAAAGGGAGAGAGAGTAGGGGATGTCGCAGAGAAGGCAGTAAATCAGGAATCCGGTGATGATCCTGATGGAGGTAGGGTGAAGTTGGGTGATTCTGAGCCCCCAGTAGGTCAGAATATTGGTCAGAGCTGGATGAATGGGGAGACGGAGCCCTGCGATGAGCTGCTCCCTGTAGATAGCCACGAAGCCTGGGGGAGGTCGGCAGGCTCGGTCGTCGGGCCCGGCCGCCCTCGGCTCGAAGGCCGGGGGGATGGAGTACGACTCGGCCAGCTCGGCCACGTCCTGGGGCGACAGGGTGGCCTCCTGTAGGTCTGGGTAACCATAGGAGAATTCGGGATCCTCCCCCTGCTCCGAGGTAGGGGTCCCCTCAGAGGGATCCCTGTCCTCCCCAGCTCCGCCCTGGGCCCCGCCAGGGGAGTCATGGGGGGACTGGGGAGAGGAGGTGGTTGCGGCCTCTTGCTCAAGGTAGGCGTCGAGCTCAGCCGTTTCCTCTAGAGCGCGGGCAGAAAAAGGATGGGATGAAGGAGACTGGGGTGAAGGAGAGCTCATGATGTCAGTAGGCTCGGGCAGGTCAGAGGTGTGGAAGCTGGGACTAGAAGCAGAAGAAGGGGAAAGAGGGGGAGGAGAAGATGGTGACGAAGATGAGGGTGAAGGCGAGGAAAGAACGATAACTCGGGCAGCTCTGCGGCGGACTGATACTACAGCAATAGAGGAGGAGGAATGATCCGACATAAAAAGTGGGGGGTAGCAGAGGGCAAAAGAGACACTGCGAAGAGGGAAGATGAATCGCAAAAAGGACTTACTGATGACGGCAGAAGAAGGATTGAAGGCTCGTCGGAATCTGGGCACAGGACGCCGGAGGTTGCTGGAAAATGGAAATGTGGGTGCACAGGGAGAGTGATAACTTGAAATGCACAAGAAGAAGCGGAAATGGCAAATGGGACAGATGAGTATTTGGCATCCCCTATTTATAGGGGGAAGAGTGGAGGGAGAACGGTTGCGTGAATTTGAACCGACCCTCATGTGAACGCATTTAATGCGGGCACGAAAACCGAAGAGGCGGGACAGCTGAAAGGACGTGGGCGCAGCGTCCCTGTGACAGCACTGTACCAGAGGTGACCTCGGCAGGGTAGTGCGCGGTTCTGGCCTCCCACGTGGCGAAGATAGATTAGGTCTGCCTGACAGTCCTACCTAATCTAGGGGGCTAGTGCAGAGGCCCCGTTCTGGGCCCGGACACGCGGCAGCCCAGGAAGAACCGAGCTGGGCCTTGGCCCCCAGACCCCTGGCAGCAGCCCTGGGCCGCACCGACTAGGGCTCCCAGGGGAGGCGAAGGTCCGTCCCGAAGAGGTCGGGAGTAATCCCCCTGAGTGCGGGATACTATCTATACTGGGCAAGTCCCGCGTCGTGCGGAGGTCGGACTCCCTTCCAGGTATAAATAATAACACACATCTACTGTACAAGGTACGCTCACTATTGGCAATTTATCCTGGACCATTGCTACTTCCCGTGAACCTTACCCACCGGAATACTAACTTGGCCGTCGGAGCGCCCTCGGGGACAACCCTCGGGCCCCCCCACCGTGAGATCACTTTTACTTGTTTTGCAGGTCTTGGATCAGCTCTCCCATCGACAACCCGAGCTCGTCAGTTCAGCTCGGTCCGGGGAAGTTCCGCGCTTCTTCAAGCTCGATCGAGCCCCAAATTTTAAATTCAAACTCGATTCGATATAGTTAAAAATAACTCGAGCTAGAATTCGTATAAAATTCGAACTCCCGTACTCGAGATAAGTTCAAAAAATGAGCTCGAAAACCTTTGTTTTTTAGACCAAAATTCAGAAAAAATACTGTGCTTTCCTTCAACAAAATAACGGCTCATATTAAAGCGTGCATTTTTCTTCATTTCAATACAAATTCCAATCATGTGATTCAAGCACTCTAAAATCCAGAGTGTCAAACTAGTTAATATGGCAGTTTCTCAATAGCCAAAATAGCCATGTAAACAAAAAAATAGAGAATTGGATATTAATAGAATTTAGTTACAACACGCTAAACGTACATATTTTAGATCAAGTTCTCTATACAATATTCTATTAAGATCCATTGTCAAGATTCTATACAACAATTCATGTACAGATTTTAGTCAAAAATCAAAACACAACTTGGTAGCAGCTATACAACATTCACTTGAGTAAAAAAAAAATCACCAGATTCACTGCACCTCAGATTTTGCATAGAAGTTACTTGTCAAAATTGGGATCTATGCTAGTGATTGAGAGGCCTCAAAAATATATCTTTGGCGGTCCCATATCTTGCAGAAGCATGTGTTTGTATTTGTTTGGAGAAACGTGATTCGCTGGGATATAGGATCTAGAGGACAGCTCTGTTGGATCAGGTAACTTCATTGACTTGACTTCAATGCTTCTTCAACGAACCCAAAAATGATTACCAGAAGCCCGTGACAAGGGTAAGCCAAAAATGACTTGACTAGCGCCTGACCAATTGGTTCGATAAATTGTGCTAGGCTGGTATTTAATCATTCTCTGAAGTGAAGTCTCAATGATCTAAATGAACAGTGTAATTCTTTGTCATTTAACACAAAGCTGTTGAACAATTGATAAAAATATATAGGTATAGAATTTTGTGGTCTTATGAACATTAGAGAAGCAATTTAAGTTATAAGTACCTTTATCAATGATTAATTGTTCAATCCTCTAACCAAAAGTAGCTAGTTGTTTTAATTGAGAATTGGTTAGTTTCCTCTAAACTCTAATGTTTGGACAATGAATTGCAACAAGGTCGCCATATTAAAGATCTTTACATGCTAAATTCATAGCCTGAATCAAGTCTTGATGCTCCTTTCGACAGAGGTAACAACAACGTATCCTCACAACAACATTTATCCTCAAAAGTTTTAAGGGTAAATTACCATTTACCTCCTTGTCACATTTTATCACATAATTCTCTTATGGTTCAATAGTATTTGCTTGACCCTGTGTTGTTTTACGTAAAATAGAAAATGAATAGAAAGCATATCCAGTTTAATGATTAGTTAAACTTTTTCCAATTTGACCAATACACCCTCCTGAAATGCATTTGAAATATGAAATATGGCATATGCTAACGTATGGAAAATCCACTCAACTCCTCTTGTGGCTTTGCATTTGACCATATAGTCCCATTGTAGTTTAGTAATACCCACATAGTATTAGTTTAAAATTACGATGTATATGTACATGTCCCAATATTAGTATTAGTATTATTTTGTTTCGATTCAAGAGTGATTCCAAATCTTATAATAAAGAGTAGAGAAAGGAGAGAGGTTCAGAGTTGAACCTAGAATCTTATAATCACATGGCTAATGTTTCTCCTTGCTAACCCTTGGGTCATTGTTGATACTTATGTTATTTGTTAAGAGAATTCTTCTCACATTGAAAACTTATTAGAACTTTGTTTGCCAGAGGAAACAATATGTTGTATGTTGGAACAATGTTTCTCACTATTTATTGTTCCCTTGGCAAACATTGTGCTGAAACAAGATTTTTTTTTTCTTTTGTTTTTTTATCTGTAAATGGAAGGTTTTAAACCCAAAACCTTCTACTTATAATTTCTTTTATCTTAATATCTAACCCAACTCTTCTCCTGCTGAAACAAGATATGGCTACAGAGAAATTGAACTAACAATTGTTACATCAAATAATTTATGAGCACATAGTTCCACAATTTCACTCTCATATTCTCCATAGGATCTTTTCTTAGTTCACCTGACCAAAACGTAAAAAAGAAATAACATTTACCAGAAAAAAAGTGTTTGATAATCCAGCAAATGTTTAAAACTAATAAATTAAGTATTTTTTTTCTATTAAACTTATTTGACAATAGAATTCTCTCATTTCTGAATATAACATGCATGTAGTAGAGTACTTTAGTTCAACTCAAATGTATTGATTATCAAACGGAATGGATATGACTTTGTGATTACAGCAATTAAAACTTCAAGACTGAGATTTCAATTTCAGATTTCACACTTTAATATTTATTTTCTACCAAGGCTCCCCAATACTTGGGAAGCTTGATGGAGGCTACTGCACAGAGTCAGCATCAAATTCTCAAAGGCCACACGAGACGAACAGCCTTCCTTCATAGCTTGCCTACATTTCTCAGTAAACTCTTTGACCTTTTTCCTGACATCATTCTCACCATCCCTGACTTCCCTTATTCCTTTCTCTATTTGTTCTGCCTTCGCCAAAGGTTGATGCTTATTAGCTTCGTTGAAATCCGAACTAATTTCCACAGCCATTCCTAACTCTTTCACCAATTGGAATGCGTTGAATTATTGCTTTCCAAACAATGGCCATGCAGCAATTGGCACACCGCACCAAATACCCTCCACAATGTGACACAAATCCACCCACGGCAGGGTGTGACAAAATGGCCATTTGTGGAATCCAGCCCACAACTTTTCCAATCAAAGCCGTTCGTTCCAAGAATCCTTCGGGCAAAGCAAGTCCATGATTTTCAAATTCCCCTGCAAATTCTCCATTTTTAGCGGGGAGTTGCCTAAGAACCCAAAGAAATCGGTAGCCACTTTTTCAAGGCCTACTACTATTTCTTTCACTTGATCCAACTTAAAACTTCCCATACTACCAAAACAGAGGAAAACAACTGATTTTTCCGACTGGATATCCATCCATTCCATCATTTCTGATTGGTCATTAGTGGATTGAGTTTGGATTTGCGACCTATTTAGAACTGGACCAATAGGGAAAATTGATGGCAATCTTGATGTACCATAAGAATATTCCATTAGAAAAGAATTAATAGCATGAGGCTCAAGATCAGCAAATGTGTTGACTAGGATGCCCTTGGCCCTTCTATACTCACGAATAGCCTTCAAGAACCAGCAACGCCAAATTTCCTTTCTAGTTGTAAAAATTGGGAGGACGCTACTTGGAACATTGTTGGTTAAGCTAGGAATGACCAATTTCATTTCAACTTGGACTAAATCGGATATTTCCTTAGTTTGCTCATCCTCGAGTGTTTCAAAATGGAACATAAGACCAAGACTAGCAGCACCACAAGTGAAGAAAACATAGCAAGGAACATCAAATGCTTCAACTACATCGATCATTGTCATCTTATCATGTCAACTATGATCCCTGCAAAATGTTTGATTTTAGAGATAATTTCTCGTACATTAGGTTTTTGAAACTCTATGAGCTAATTAATATAGCTTCCTCTATGTGGAAAATGCCATTCAGATATATCTGGCATTGGAAGGTTGCAGAAATTGAGGCGATTGACTTTGTAGGAGGTGATCAGAGACTCAATTTTGGCCATGCCTGCAGGATCAAATGGTGCCTTCGTGACAAGGAGTGAAATAGATAGTTTATCAATTTTTTGAAGCATTAGCTTGGCTAGCTCCATGAATAGTGCAAAGTGCCCGGTTAGCAGTGCAACAAGCATTACTACCTCAAGTTTGTCCATTAGTATTTGGTAAGGAGGGCTTGATCCTGAGGGAAAGAGTAAAAGCCTAAGAGGGATGTTTTAAGAACTCTTTTTTTCATCGAGGAAAAGTACAATGAACAATCATTCATATTAAGGCATGAATTCATGCACCAAGAACTTCTCATTTCCTTCAGATGCGTATCCATATAATTTTACCAAATTCGGATGCCTTAATATTTGTAGAATCTCTACCTCGTTCTTGAATTCTTGTTCTCTTTGTATTGATCCGTCTTAGTGAAACAGGAATTTAATTGCAGCAATCTGATGGTGATTGTTAGGTCCGAAGACAACCTAAGAGGGGGGTGAATTAGATTGATTAAAAAATTAATCAAATTATGAATACTTTTTTGTTCAATATGAAATTTACCCTTTTTTAAGTGATTATACAATGAATCAATCAATGAAGGAACAACATTACTTGAGAGAAGTAGAGGAGATATGCAATTTAAGGATCACAAGATAATAATCAATAAATAAGAAGAGAAGAGTTGCAAACCAATTAACTACCAAACTTCTCTTGAGCTTGAAGATCAATTCACAAAGCAAGTTTTTCAAATTGATGAAATATAACTAATCTTGTGTACAAAGGAAGGCTCATTTCCTTTTTGCTCCAAGTTTCACTCGGTCAAATTAGGAAGTTTTACTATCTCTCAGAACAACTCTTACAGAGTTATCCTATTGAAGTATTCACTCACAAATGAAAAGATTACAAGGAGCCTTACACCATCAAATGTATAAATCTTCCTTGAAGAGTGTTTTGCCATAAAACTACTCTTAATCTTTTGTATCTTCAATGTGTAAAAGTTGTTTGAAGTTTCTGACAATGTACTATTTATATAAGACCAAGAAAGTGTTTCATTAATTCTTCTAACGGGTAGAAAGTAGTTGAAAAATCAACTAGCCGTTGGGAGTATCGGACGTCCAGTACTTCTAATGTTTGCGTTCGATAACAGACAGAGAGTTTGAACTATCATCTCAATTCTATCGGATGTCCGGTACTTTCAATGCTTGCGTTCGATTGTAGATAGAGAGTTTGAAGTATCATCTCAATTCTATCGGACGTCTGGTGAAGATGTTCTACGTCCAATATGATCTGTAGTGTTTATCGGACGTCCGGTATTGTCTTTGTGAGAGTCCGACAGCTTTCGACTTCCTTTTTCTTCTTTAATTTCTTCAGAGTTGAAAAGCTTTCTTATTGAAAAGATATTAGTATTATCCAATTATTTTGTAAACATCAAAAGATAGGAATCAAAATCAACATTCTCCCCTTTTTGATGATGATAAAATAATAGATGAAAAGAAAAAAAAAAAAAGAGTAGCAACTCCCCTTTACTCATGGCATCCAAAACCATTAAGTACCAACTCATAGCATCTCCCCCTTACTCATATTATAAGAACTCCTCCTTACACATAACATCCATTCTCCCCCTTTTTGTCATCATAAAATCTGAGAGTAATTGACAGCAGAAAAGTACAGAGAAATAATACCAAGATCCATTAATCCATTAACAACACCAAAATCCATCAACCATCCATCAGTCAAAAAACAAAAAAATAATACTAAGATCCATCAATGTCAATCAAAATGAATTAGTCATTCAACTAACAGTCATATCAACTATCATTCATATCAAAAACATCAGAAACATCAAAAGAAAAGTACAAAAGATCATGAAAAATGCATCCTAATATGAAGTGCAAATGTCCTTAGAATGCCTAAAGTGTGATCACAAAATTTCAAAAAGTCACAAAATTTAAATTATGAACCATTGTCACTTCTAATTTTAACAATATTTAAACCAAATAGATTTTGAACTTTTACAAATAGGAAAATAAAATTTTTGAAAGTATCATCTTTATGAGCAAGAAAAACCACCCAAGTGTATCTAAAGTAACCATCAACAATGACTAGGCAATATCTCTTACCACCCAATCTAGCAATATGTAGGATCGAGCAAATCAAGATGTAAAAACTCCAATGATTTTGAAGTAGAAACACAATTTTTGGGTTTAAAAGAGAATTTGATTTGTTTTTCAAATTGACAAACATCACAAATTTTGTCTATTTCAAACTTCATTTTTGACAAATCTCTAACAATATCCTTTTTGAAAATTTCTTTTAATAAATCCATATTGAAATGACAAAACTTTCTACGCTACAACCAATGATTTTTATTTGAAACTTTAAGACATTGAAAGTTAGAGAAATTAATATTTTCAAAAATCATAATATAGATGTCATTGAATTTTTTTCCTTTGAAAATGATGTTAAATTTTGAATTAAGAACTAAACACTCATACTTCTTGAATAGAACAAACAAATTTCTATTATATAATTGACTAACACTTAGCAAGTTATAACTCAAATTATCAACCAAAACAACATTATGAACAAAAATCTCACTATTCTTGCCAACATCTCCTACTCCAATTGTTTTAACTTTTATATCATTTTCAAATGTCACTTTGCCACTTGATTTTGATTTGAGTTTGATGAATTGTGATAGATCACTGGTCATGTGTCTTGAGCATTCACTGTCTACGAAGCATTTTGATTTTTTAATGATATTCACCAGATTTACCTACTCAAGAGTTCAAAAACTAATATTTGGTACCCTTTAATTTTTGGGTACTTGAGAGTTAGTATCATGTCTAACTATCCACATACATTTCATGGCTCTTCTCATATTTTTTTCTCACATAGTAATCACTTATCATGTGATCTTTTTAACAACAAAAATTATATATAACAAAAGAGTTATTTATATGAACAGATTTAATAAATTTTACTTATCTTCTCTTATAAATAGTAAATTCATCTGCACTAAAATTTAATTTCTTCTCATAAGTGCTAAGATGAGATTTTGATTCATTCTCTTGAAAATAGTCTTATTTTTATGTTGGAACAATTCATTTAAATTATTCATTATTCTTTTCAAATCACCTAGTTCCTTTTTGAATATTTCACAAAGTCATGTTTTTCTATCAAACTCATTTTGTAGATCAATCTCACTCTTTTTCAAATAATCATTTTTAGTTTTCAACTTTTTATTTTCCTGAAAAAAATGTGCATTGTCCTAAAGAAAAAAGTTAATTTTTTGTTTTAATTCCTGGTTTCTAGCATAAGATTCTATCAAGTTATCATGCAATTTTTCAATGAAGAATTCAAGATAATCATCAGTTTTATCATCACTATCAAGTTAAAGGTTACAAGTTGTTACCTCATTATCTCCAATGACCATGAAAGTCATTTAAGCAGATTTTTCTTTCTCTTCAATTTCATCATCGGAGTTGCACTCATTCAAAGTGAATTGAAAGTTGTTGAATCTTGATTTTCTTTTAGCTTTCCTCTTTTCATTGGACACTCATTCATGTAGTGTTCAATTTGACCGTATTCATAGCATTTATCACCTTATTTTTTGTTGACCTCTTATTTTCCTTTGTTTCTTGCATTGTTGAATTGATTGAAATTCGAATTGTTAAGTCTTCCTATTTTGAATCTCCTTTTGTTGAGAATTCTCTTGAAACTTTTTGTGATGAGAGCAAGATCATTATCATTAACATTCATATTTTCTCCATCCAATGAAACTGAGTCATCTTCATCTTGGGATGCTTTTAGAGCAATGTTTCTTTTTGCTTTCGTATCTTTTTCTTCTTGTATCTTGATCTTAAGTTTTAACTCATAAGAAGTTAGAGAGTTTATAAGAGTTTCAATAGGCATTGAATTCAAATCTCTTGTCTCTTCAATAGCAGTTACCTTACTCTCTCAATCTTTAGATAGAACATTCAAGATTTTTCTGTTTTTCTTTCCGAATGAGTATTTCTTTTTCAGAACTTCTAAATTCTTAATAAAATTATTAAATCTACAAATATATTTTATCAATATTTTCATGAGATTCTATTTTAAATGACTCATATTTGGTAACTAAGATAAATTTCTTTTATTCTCTAACATTCTCACTACCTTCATGAATTTATCTCAATTTGTCCCAAATTTCTTTAGTTGACTTACAACTTTTGACTCTAATTGATTCATTTGAGTTTAAAGTACAATATAATACATTTATAATTTTTGCATTTAATGTGAGATGAATTTTGTTATCAGTAGTCAATTCATTTATGATTTTTAGTCGAAATCTATAAGTATTTTCATCTCTTATAGAAGTATCATATGGACCTTAATTAACAATAAATCACAATTCAATATCAATAGATTATAAGAAAATGATCATTCTTTCTTTCCAACTTATATAATTTGACCCATTAAATATTGAAGGTCTAGTGACAGATTGTATTTCAAAAAATATGGCATTGTTGGTTGTCATCTTTACTCCTAAACTGCTTGAATTTAATCTCTAGAAGACCAAATTCTGATATTAATTGTTAGGCCCGACGACAACCTAAGAGAGGGTGAATTAGGTTGATTAAAAAGTTAATGAAGTTATGGACACTTTTTTGCTCAATATGAAATATACTCTCTTTTTTGAGTGATCATATAATGAATTAATCAATGAAAGAACAATATCACTTCAGAGAAGTGGAAAAAATATGCAATTTAAGGATCACAAGATAATAATCAATAAATAAGAAGAGAAGAGTTGCAATCAATTGACTATCAAACTCCTCTTGAACTTGAAGATCAATTCACAAAGCAAATTTCTTTAAGTTGATGAAATACAACCAATCTTGTGTACAAAGGAAGGTTCACTTCCTTCTTGCCCCAAGTTTCACTTGGTCAGGTTAGAAAGTTTTACTATCCCTTAGGTTAACCTTTACAGAATTACCCTATTGAAGTATTCACTCACAAATGAAAAAATTTCAAGGAGCCTTACATCACCAAGAGTACAAATCTTTCTTGGAGAGTGTTTTGTCATAAAACTACTCTTAATCTTTTGTATTTTCAGTGTGTAAAAGTCGTTTGAAATTTCTGACTATATACTATTTATATAAAACCAAAAAAGTGCTTCATTAATGCTTCTAACGGATAGAAAGTAATTGAAGAGTCAACTAGCCGTTGGGAGTATCGGACGTCCAGTACTCCCGATACTTGCGTTCGATAGCAGACAGAGAGTTTGAAGTATCATCTCAATTCTATCGGACGTCTGTAACTTCCAATGCTTGCGTCCGATAACAGACAGAGAGTTTGAAATATCATCTCAATTCTATCGGACGTCCAGTGAAGATGCTCTGCGTCCGATATGATCTATACTATTTATTGGACGTCTGGTATTGTTTTTGTGAGCGTCCGACAGCTTTTCGATTTCCTTTTTCTTTTTTAATTTTTTCAGAGCTAAAAAGCTTTCTTATTGAAAAGATATTAGTATTATCCAATTATTTTGTAAATATCAAAAGACAGGAATCAAGATCAACAATGATTAATCAATCCATTCAATTCGGTGAAAACAAATTTTAAGTGCTAATATCAATTCAAATTTATTCAAATACTAGGAGTACTGATTCTTACTAGTAATAGAGCTAGTAGTAAGTAGTAACAGGATAGAACAAATAGTTCTGCTTATTTGCTAATTGGTTGACTTATCAAAACAAACAAGAAACATATATAGAGCCAACATGCTCATTTCCCTACTATGAGTAATGCATCACACAAAATGCCCTGAAGTTACATGTTTCATACTTTATTTCATTGATCATTTGATTCTTGAAATCTTCGCAAGCAAGTAAGTGACATGAAGAATGTTTTTACTACTAGTAAATTAGTTGAACGTGGGACAAGAAAAATTGATGTGAAAGTCAATTTGCATCAATTAATTCATGAAGAAATATGCCAAATCTTACTTGGCAAGATTCGAGGGTTCCTTTGTAAACCACTCCGTAGCCTCCCATACTAACCACATTTTCAACTGAGAGATATCCGGTGGCAGTTTTAAGCTTAGACACATTAAATTTACCTATAACAATACTTTGTAAGAGCATTGATATAATAAAGATTTAGGTTTGAGGTCGATCGTTCAAAGAACAAAATATAAAAAAAAAAATGGAATTAATGGCAAAATTAAGTAGTAACAGTAGTTACCACTGGTTACTTGATCTTCAATTTGATTACCCTCAATCTTCTTGATGCCCTTGGGCTCATTTCCGAATAGGCAAGAATAACAGCCCATTGCCTATATAAGCCACTATATATCTCAATGTTGCAAAGTGGAAGTTGTATTAGTACGAGGAGCATGAGAATCATTGAATATTAGCAACTGCATGTGTATTTGGTACTCCAATTTTATGGTAAACAAGCAAGGCAGAAGAAGATTATGATATGGGATCATAGGATTCTTGAATTTCGTTCAAATGTTCAAAACTTGATAGGAAGAGATAGTGTTTGTTACCGAGTAATATTTGCATAACTAACAAAATGGTAATCAACATTTTGGGGAGAGGGTTTCTGGTAGCTGTAGCCAATTTTGGACTCTTACCCATTGATAAATATTGCGCCCCCCAACTCATGAATTTGCACCACTTATTTCTGATAGATGATTGCTGACATATAGGATTCTACAGTTCAAATCAAGCATGCTCATTGGAAAAGCCAATACTCTACTCTAAAAGATATATGATTTAAATACTAGGCACATCCTAAGTTTTAGATGTTCCATATTTGTATCTGGCACATCGTATGTTTTCAAAATCGCTTTTTATAGATAAACTCTTTTATATTATGACAAATATTAAGACTTATGTAGTATAAAATTGAAGTCTGAAAACTAAAATCTGAAATCTAAAATTTGAAGTCTGAATTTATTAAGTTATTAAATTGTTAAGTACAATCTATCACATTTGAGTACGCATCACATTATTTGACAAAAAAGAGTATATGTTAAGTGAATAACATTTGAGTATATAACACATTAAGTGAAAAGTGAATAGTTTATCACGTATTTTTAATAGTAAGTTTTGTCTTAAAAATTTAGTGGCAATTAATTATTTTAGATGTTTAATTTTTGATTATCAAACATGTTTGAATATGTTAAAATCTGAATCCATTAAATTTAAGTATTGAATTGGTTGATCAAATAGCACTAAGATAATTCGAATCCATCAATTCAGAGATGAATTGTTTAATTATTTGTTTCAAATATCTCAGCTTGAATTTCACATGATATTTTTGCGAGTCACTTGAATATGACCCAAAGTTTATATAGATTTTTAACTTATTTGATAAAGGCCAAAATTTAGGTAGATTCAATCTCTAAAGACTCAATGGCCCAAATTGTGCCATACCACTTATAAAATAGTGTGGTACAATTTAGATCATTGAATTTTTTAAAATTAGCTCTATTCAAGTGTGAGCCTTTGATGAATAGGCCATTTTTTTTTTTAATCCTTGTATCTTATATGTTCAAAAAATCATTTAACAATTGACAATTTCAAGTCCCAAAATTCATATTTGTTGACTCGAAGTTAACTTGCTTGTTAAGGTCAAACAATATGTTAAAATGCTTGTTTAATGGGCTGTTTGTTTTTTGGGTCTAACCCATACAGGTAGGTCTATAAGTAGGGAATGTTGGGCCGTATCTGTTAAAAGTGGCCGTGTAACAATAACATGGGCCACATCCAAATTCAAATGAAGCTTCTCAATTTTCAAAATGTGAATGGTCTAAATCCAATCGCTCTAAACCTGTCAAGGTCTGCAATTGAAAGTGCAGCCAATAGCCCGTCATAAGGAGGGATATTAAATAGAGGTGTTATCCACAATCTAATTATTTTGATCCGATCAAGTCCGTCCAGAATAAGTGGATTTGAGTATGTAATAACTTTGAATAGATTTAAATGAATATTCAATTATATCTATTTAATTATTGATTGGTAGTGAATTGATTTGATTCATTTATTTATATCAATTTAAAAATAATTATATATTTAAACTCTATTTTAAGTGGGTGTTAATCGAATAAATTTAAATTTTTTATCAATCTAATAATAATAAAATGTTATTATTGCTTGTCAAACAACATGCAAAAAAAATTTTTAAAAATAAAATTTCAATTACTTGGAATCTCTAATTATCCATTTAGAAGTTTCTCAAAAAGTATCCATTTTTACTGAAACAAGAAAGTCAATAAATTCAAATACTAATGACCTAAGATTGTAGTCGAATGGCCACTTCAGTCCCTCCTTGGGAATAGGTGGGGGGGGGGGGGTTTGAAACCCCCTGCTTGCATGCCTAAATCTAGAAAATCCTGACACTTTCTGTCATGGGAACGAGTGCAGTTAGACTCATTCAATTTGATGGTGATTTAGTTTTGGCTGGCTTTTCCATGGTCCGATTGAACCTCTGTCCTTCCCTATAGTTTAGGAGTAGGTATAGATTGTTATCATTTGACCAAAAAAAAAAATGAAGAAGACCTAAGAGAGTAATAATGGCACCCAATGCTTTTGATGATATCGTCCAATGACAAATAAGAAGATCCACCTTCCTGCAACGCTAACCTACGCTTTCACCATCCCTGAGTTCCCTTATCCCTTTCTCAACTTGCTCAGCTCTTACTATGCCTTGATTCTTCTTTTCTTCAAAATAATCTAAGCAAATTTCCACTGGATTGCCCAACTCTTTCACCACCTGAAAAGCTGAGAAAAGCATTCAGCAGTTGCTCCGCGTGCAACGCCCATGTAGCCATTGGCACGCCACTCCATATACTATTCAAAGTTGAATTCCAACCACAATGCGACACAAAACCGCCCACAGCCGGGTGCGACCGACAACACGGCTAATTTTGGAACCAGCCTACAACTTTTACCAAGAAGATATCCACAGCCGGGCACTGTCACTATCGTTGTTGAAATCTTTGATATTTAAATAATTTGTGGGTGTCAATTGGCATCAATAATAATTGTTTTTCCTGTAAATGATTAAGGTTCGTTTGTTAAAAACCTGATGCAATAATGAAAATATGCACCAAATTTTTGTTAGACGAATATTTGCCACAGCTATTTGTCAACATTTTGAATCCACATTTGTGTTTTGTAGGAGATGGCAATAATCAAGTGTGGTTAATACTCGAAAGTTCAACATATCATAGAACTTGAAGAGAAATGAATATTTAGAAATAGATTGATGTAGTTAAATTTTGTTGTTATACTTCTTATAATGTTTAAGGAACACTGGCATAAATTATTGTATTTCTCGTGACTTCTGAACTAGTAGAATAATTTTCTCGAAATTCTGCGAAAAGCTAACCAAGTTCTTATGATGAAAGAATCGTCAATATCGATGTTTTACAATTTACACCTGTGGGTTGAAAAGATTAAATCAAGACGCACTCTCAACAGCTCTCTAGCCACTCTACTGCAAGATATATGCAGCCTACAAATCTCATTTTACTGAATTCTTAGTAATGGTCAGAAATTGGAAAGAAATGTTGATTAATAAGTGAGATCAGTTTAACAAGATAAAGGCTGTTTTTTCACTGTTTTATTCAACTGGAACATATTCAAAAGTCTGTGGGGGCAGAATATATCAATGATTCTTAACAAGATTAGCTTAACAAGAGGAGGACAGTGCCTTGTTCTCAAAACCTCAAGGTTTTTGAGATTCACTTAACAGATAGAGGCTTTTTATTTTCAACTGTTTCATTCAACTGCAACATATTCGAAAGACCGTGGAGCAGAATGTACCAATGATTACACATTTGCACTTGTCTTATAATTAGTTGAATTGAACCTTGTTCATGTAGTAATCTCCGTTAACAACAGTTTTCATAGCACCAATTGAGCTGAAGACCGTGAACAAATGTCTTGAATAAGATTCCCCAAAGCGAAATAAGATGACCCACCTTCCTTCGTAGCTAGTCTGCTTTTCTCGCTGAATTCTTTAACCCTTATCCTTACTTCATTCTCAACATCCATGATTTCCCTTATGCCTTTCTCTACCTGCTCGGCTCTCACCAAAGCTTGATTTTCCTTTTGTTGATTGTAGTCCAAACTAATTTCCACAGCAATTCCTAACTCTCTGACCAATTGGAACGCATTCAGCTGTTGCTCAGCTTGTACGGGCCAGGTGGCAATAGGCACCCCACAAAAGATGCTCTCCAACGTTGAATTCCAGCCGCAGTGTGACACGAATGCCCCAACAGCCGAATGTGACAGCACGGCCAGTTGTGGAACCCAACCCACGACTTTTCCGATCGAAGCCGTTCGATCCAAGAACCCTTCGGGCAGCGCAAGTTCAAGATTCTCATAATCCCTAGGAAATCCCCCTTCGTTTGCAGGGGGCTGCCTGAGAACCCATAGGAATCGATGACCACTTCTCTCAATGCCATAAGCTATTTCTTGAACTTGGTCCGGATGGAAAGTTGCCAAGCTGCCAAAACAGAGAAAAACTACCGAGTTTTTAGGCTGACAATCCAGCCATTTCATCATTGCTGAACAATCTTCACTAGATTGAGTGTGGATTTGGGACCTATTTAGAATAGGCCCAACAGGAAAGATTGGTGGCAAGCTTGATTTACCATAATAAGAATCTAATGAAAAGGAACTAATAGCATTAGATTCAAGATCACTGAAAGTGTTCACTATGATTCCTTTAGCCCTTCTGTAGCCACGGGTCATTTTCAAAACGAAGGTCGACCAATATTCCTTCTGGGTTGCTGCATCTGGGAGGACGCCGATTGGAACCGGTTTTGCAAAACTAGGGAGAATTAAATGGCTTACCCCTTTAACCAGATCAGGTATGTCCCGGTTTTGCTCGTCTTCAAGGGTTTGGAAATGAAGCATCAGACCAAGAAAAGCCGCACCAGAGGTGAAGAATAAGTATGTAGGAACTCCAAGCTCGTCAGCAACGTCAATCATGGTCGTGCTAACTAAGTCAATCAAAAACCCAGAAAATTTTTGAGTTTTTGAGGCTATTTCTCTCACGTGAGGTTTCTGATATTCTAGGAGCTTCAAAGTGAAGAGCCCTCTATGTGTGATATTCCAATCAGAGGTGTCTTCTGGTGTTGGAAGGTGGTGGAAGTGGAGGCCTTCAACATTTGTGGCAGCGACGAGAGACTGAATTCTGGCTGTGCCATGGGGATCAATTGGCAGCTCCATGATCAGGGCTGTGATTGATAATTGATTGTTTCTTGCAAGCATCAGCTCGGCCAGCTCAAGGGCTTGTGCCAAGTGCCCCATTAGAGGTGGAACCATCATCAGGAGCTTAAATTTCTCCATTTGATACAGGAGAAGAAGGTTAAGAGGGGATGGAATTGTAGTTCTAGCGCAAGAAGGATGCCTTTGAGGTTAATAAGTTCACAGATTTTGCATAGAAGTTGCTTGTCAAAATTGGGAACTATGCTAGTAATTGAGAGTCCTCAAAAATATATCTTCGTCGGTCCACTTTTTAGACGACAGTTCTGTTGGATCACGTAACCTCATAGACTTGACTTCAATGCCTCTTCATTGAATTGACTGAGCTCTGCCGCCCTTACAGATGCTGTTGAGTCATCCGATCTCGAGCTTCAATGCTAAGAGCGCTATTGGACTTCAAGCTCAAGCTCGATCAAGTCCCAAATTTTAAACTCAAACCTGACTCGATATAGTTAAAAATAATTCGAGCTCGAATTCGTATAGGATTCAAAACTTGAGCTAAGTTCAAAAAATGAGCTCGAAAACTTTTGTTTTCTAGACCAGATTTGAGCAAAAATTGAGTGAAAAAAATCTGTGCTTTCCTTCAACAAAATAGCAACTCATATTAAAACATGCATTTTTCTTCATTTCAACACAAATTCCAATCATGTGATTCAAGCACTCTAAAATCTACGGTATCAAACTAGTTAATATGACAGATTCTCAATAGTCAAAATAGCCATATAAGCAAAAGAAATAGAGAACTTGATATTAATAGAATTTAGTCACAACACGCTAAACATACAATCTATTCTATTAAGATCTATTGTCAAGATTCTATACAACAACTCATGTACAGATTATAGTCAAAAGTCAAAACACAATTTGGTAGCAGCTATACAGCATTCACTTGAGTAAAAAAAAAAAATTCACCAGATTCACTACAACTGTATAGATTTTGCATAGAAGTTGCTTGTCAAAATTGGGATGCTAGTAATTGACGGGCCTCAAAAATATATCTTTGGCGGTCCCATATCTTGCAGAAGCATGTGATTGTATTTGATTGGAGAAAGGTGATTCGCTGGACATAGGATCAGCTCTGTTGGATCACGTAACTTCATTGACTTGACTTCAATGCTTCTTCAACAAACCCAAAAATGATTACCAGAAGCCCGTGACAAGGGTAAGCCAAAAATGACTTGACTAGCGCCTGACCAATTGGTTCGATAAATTGTGCTAGGCTGGTATTTTATCATTCTCTGAAGTGAAGTCTAAATGATCTAAATGAACAGCGTGTAATTCTTTGTCATTTAACACAAAGCTGTTGATAGAAATATATACGTATAGAATTTTGTGGTCTTATGAACATTAGAGAAGCAATTTATGTTATAAGTACGTTTATCAATGATTAGTTGTTCAATCCTCTAACCAAAAGTAGCTAGTTGTTTTAATTGAGAATTGGTTTGTTTCCTCTGAAGTCTAATGTTTGCACAATGAATTGCAACAAGGTCGCCATATTAAAGATCTTTACATGCTAAATTGATAGCCTGAATCAAGTCTTGATGCTCCTTTCGCTAGAGGTAACAACAACGTATCCTCACAACAACATTTGCCTCCAAAAGTTTTAAGGGTAAATTACTATTTATCTCCTACTCACATTTTATCGCATAATTCTCCTATGGTTCAATAGTGTTTGCTTGGCCCTGTGTTGTTTTACGTAAAGTAGAAAATGAATAGAAAGCAGATCCTGTTTAATGATATCTAGTTAAACTTTTTCCAATTTGACCCGTACACCCTCCTGAAATGCATTTGAAATATGAAATATGGCATATGCTAACGTATGGAAAATCCACTTAACTCCTCTTGTGGCTTTGCATTTGACCATATAATCCCATTGTAGTTTAGTAATACCCACATAGTATTAGTTTAAAATTATGATGTATATGTAAATGTCCCAATATTAGTATTAATACTATTTTTTTCGATTCAAGAGAGATTCCAAATCTTATAATAAAGAGTAGAGAAAGAAGAGAGGTTCAGAGTTGAACCAAGAATCTTATAATCACATGGCTAATGTTTCTCCTTTCTAACCTAGGTCTTGGCCCTCTTGGGTCATTGTTGATACTTATGTTATTTGTTAAGAGAATATTAGAACTTTGTTTGCCAAAGGAAACAAAATGTTGTATGTTGGAACAATGTTTCTCACTGTTTATTGTTCCCTTGGCAAACATTGTGCTGAAACAAGATTTTTTTTTCTTTTTTTTTTTATCTGTAAGTGGAAGGTTTTAAACCTAGAACCTCCTACTCATAATTTCTTTTATCTTAATATCTAACCCAACTCTTCTCCTGCTGAAACAAGATATGGCTACAGAGAAATTGGACTAAAAATTGTTACATCAAATAATTTATGAGCACATAGTTCCACAATTTCACTCTCATATTCTCCATAGGATCTTTTCTTAGTTCACCTGACCAAAACGTAAAAAAGAAATAACATTTACCAGAAAAAAAGTGTTTGATAATCCAGCAAATGTTTAAAACTAATAAATTAAGTATTTTTTCTATTAAACTTATTTGACAATAGAATTCTCTCATTTCTGAATATAGCATGCATGTAGTAGAGTACTTTAGTTCAACTCAAATGTATTGATTATCAAACGGAAAGGATATGACTTTGTGATTATAGCAATTAAAACTTCAAAACTGGGACTTCAATTTCAGATTTCACACTTCAATTTTTAGTTTTTACCAAACCTCCCTAATACTTGGGAAGCTTGATGGAGGCTACTGCATAGAGTTAGCATCAAATTCTCAAAGGCCACACGAGACGAACAGCCTTCCTTCATAGCTGTCCTACATTTCTCAGTAAACTTTTTGACCTTTTTCCTGACATCATTCTCACCATCCATGACTTCCCTTATTCCTTTCTCTATTTGTTTGATGCTCATTAGTTTCATTGTAATCCAAACTAATTTCCACAGCCATTGCTAACTCTTTCACCAATTGGAATGCGCTGAATTGTTGTTCTCCAACAATGGCCATGCAGCAATTGGCACACCACACCAAATACCCTCCAATATTGAGTTCCAGCCACAGCATGGTTCGCCATATCGGCCGATACCGATACGTATCGGCCGATACCGATACGTATCGGCCGAGTTGTAACTGGAATGGAGGGGACCGATACAATACCGATCCCCGAATCGCGAATGTCACCATATCTACGACGACTTGCTCTGACTCGGCCGATATTGACTGATTCGAATCTGTGATACATGATATCGGTTGATATATCCGAATCAACTCGGAGTCGACTCTGATATTTTTTTAAATTATGTCTTTTTTAGTATTTTCTAATTTTAGTAATTTTTTCAAAATTTTTGTAAATTTTCATGTGTTATAATGTGTGTATCACCCAATATTCAACTAATATGCCGCGACGGAAGTGGAACAATCGAGACCGCGACGCGACCGTGACCCGAGATGGCGAACCAAGAGCCACAATATGACACAAATCCACCCACGGCAGGGTGTGACAAAATGGCCATTTGTGGAATCCAGCCCACAACTTTTCCAATCAAAGCCGCTCGATCCAAGAATCCTTCGGGCAAAGCAAGTCCATGATTTTCAAATTCCTCTGCAAATTCTCCATTTTTAGTGGGGGATTGCCTAAGAACCCAAAGAAATCGGTAGCCACTTTTTCAAGGCCTACTGCTATTTCTTTCACTTGATCCAGCTTAAAACTTCCTATACTACCAACACAGAGGAAAGCACCTGATTTTTCCGGCTGGATATCCATCCATTCCATCATTTCTGAATGGTCATTAGTGGATTGAGTTTGGATTTGGGACGTATTTAGAACTAGACCAATAGGGAAAATTGGTGGCAATCTTGACGTACCATAAGAATATTCCATTAGAAAAGAATTAATAGCATGAGGCTCAAGATCAGCAAATGTGTTGACTATGATGCCCTTGGCCCTTCTATACTCACGAGTAGCCTTCAAGAACCAGCAACGCCAAATTTCCTTTCTAGTTGTAAAAATTGGGATGACGCTACTTGGAACATCGTTGGTTAAGCTAGGAATAACCAATTTCATTTCAACATGGACTAAATTGGATATTTCCTTGATTTGCTCATCCTCGAGTGTTTGAAAATGGAACATAAGACCAAGAGTAGCAGCACCACAAGTGAAGAAAACATAGCAAGGAACATCAAATGCTTCAGCTACATCGATCATTGTCGTCTTATCATGTCAACTATGATCCCTGCAAAATGTTTGATTTTAGAGACGGTTTCTCATACATTAGGTTTCTGAAACTCTATGCGCTGATTAATATAGCTTCCTCTATGTGGAAAATGTAAGAAAATAATATAAAAGTACAAGACTGTATTGAGTCAAACCAGAAAAATTCAAGAGAGAATTCTATAGAAATAAGTTTACATAAATGGGGATCAAAGCTTGAAGAATTCAAGGCATGTAATCACTTTCCTTGAAGTTTGATTGCCCCCACTATCTTGCTAATCCGGTTTCTGGGCAAAAATTCTAGGATACAATGAATTCTAATTAGACAACCAAGTAGCAAGTTCTTGGATTTGTCTAGTCAAGAATAAAAATGCTTAAAGTTTTCTGGTGTTCAACATATTGATTTATACACCCATAACATTCAGAAAACCGTTAGAAACTGTTCATATATAACATTTCAAAAGAATATGAAGTTTCACTTGTAAAAGGTGCTTCCAAAAGGTGCAAACCTTTCCTATTTTGCAAACTACATTAACAATCCCCCACTTAGTTTGCAAAATAGAAAGTCAAACTAACATTGAAAATACATGCATCAAGGAAAGTAACTCTCGTCTTAAACTCCCCTTGCTAAAAATTAAGTCTCGGTCTGATTTGGTCGTTTCGGATTAGATGTGGACATGTCTAACTCGTAGGAAATCTTTTGTTTTGTAACCGAAACTCTGATCTTTAAGTGTGATCACTTAGCGCGGGCACGCTTAACTCCTAAGGAGTCTTCTGGTCATCAAACCAAAATACACATTTAAGTAAAACCCTTGGTGGCTAGATTGCTTAAACCAAGATTCACAAAAATAAGAAATGTTACATACATGAATCATATAGCATTTATATATTCACAACCATCTGTAGCACTATTACTGGCCATGTGCTCATCCTATTCATGATCATATATACAAGAGATCACCCAAAACTCTTGTTAGAAGCGGCACCACTTCTATGACCATATAGGTAAACTATATTTCTAGTTTTAACAAATAAAATACAAGAAATATGTTTATTAAGA